GGAGTCTGAGGCAGGAAGATCGCTTGAGCCCAGGAGATCAAGGCTGCAGTGAGCTATGATGGTGCCCCACATTCCAGCCTGGGTGACAGAATGAGACCCTGTTTCAAAAAACAAAGATTTACATCTTTTTCTTTTCATGCCCTAAAACAGCTAATGTTACAAAATTTATTTGTTCTGTGCAAGGTAAAGTAACTCACCTGTGAAATCATCTGAGGCTATAACCATTTTAGGAGGTAATACTTTAATGACTTTCTTTGACTTTTTCCTTTATTATTCTATTCAGATAGTCTACTTTTTGTTGAAGCAATTTTTTGATGTTATTTTCTTCCAGAAAATAATCCATTTCACTGTAGTTTTGAAATTATAAGTATATAATGTATGTAGAGTCCTCTTAGAGTTTTAAAACCTATAGTCTCCCTTTTGGCATTTATAACATTTATTTGCATTTCTTTTCTTTCCTTTTTTTTTTTTTTTTTTGAGACAAAGTCTCTCTCTGTCACCCAGGCTGGAGTTCAGTGGCACAATCTCAGCTCACTGCAACCTCTACTTCCTGGGTTCAAGAGATTCTCTGCCTCAGCCTCCCAATTAGCTGGGACTATAAGTGTGCCATCACACCTGGCTAATTTTTGCTTTTTTTGTAGAGATGGGGTTTCACCATGTTGGCCAGGCTGGTCTTGAACTCCTGGACTCAAGTGATTCACCTACCTTGACTTCCCAAAGTGCTGGGATTACAGGTGTGAGCCACCACGCCTGGCCTATTTTTGTTTCTTCTAATGGTAGAAGCAAAGCTTTTTTATGAACCAACTCTAAAAATAATTTATTAATCCTTTCTGACTGTTTAGATGACTACTCATTAATGTTTGCTTTTAACTATATTTTACAGCTTTCTTCCCCTGGTTATTTTGATTTTTTATTAAAACCAAATAGTTAAATGAAAGTTTATTTTACCTATTTTTATTCTTTTCTGATTAACCATAAAGGGCTTTTAAGGCTACAGATTTGCCTATCCATCAGCTTTGTCTCATCCCATAAGATTTCTTATATGTTTTCAATTTTCCATTGTTTTTAAATAGTCTGTTTGCAGTTTTGATTTTTGATCTTTAGCTCAAATATTATCCGGGAGAGCACTTAAAAATATCTAAGTGATTGGGTTGTTTAGTTTGTGTGATAGGAAAGAAGCGTTTATTATTTAGAATTCCCCATGACTTCTAGGGACGGTGGCTCCTGTCTCTTTAGCGTCCTTTGCCTTATACACAGCAGTGAGAAGTGTAGGTACAGGAATTTTAGGGGAGCTCAGTCTGAGTCCAGTTAGTCTGCATAAAAAAGGGAGCAAGGCTGATGCCTCTTCAGAGCCATCAGGGAGATTTGAGAGGGGAAGGGTGCAGATGACTTGTGGCTGAGACACAGGAAACTCACAGAACTCATAAGTAAATGGGCCCAGTTGGAGGCTGGAGTGTGGGCAGGAAGGGAGCTGGCTGAGAGTTAATTTTGGAGTAGCATATTGGAATGAGCAAGATTTAACTGCTTTACTTTTGTGAACTCTAACCTGTAGACAGGAACCATTTAGGGTTTCTTGCATGCAAGTGACATGATTGAGATTTATTCTCAATGTTAAGATCCCACTCACCTCCCAGAATGCTGGTAGCCAGGCAGAAGATGGAAAGATTCTTTTCTGGAGCATATGACAAGCCCAAGGGTAGAGTCCTAGAGATATTGATGTTGGAGTCTTCTCAACAAGATGTCCTGTTCAGATCTCCTTGTATGACTCTTAGTTGAAAAGCTCAGAGGTCCCAATCAATTTTTAGTGTCTCAGTGTTTAATATGAGCAGAAAACCAAAGGTCACTTGACATTTAAGAAAAGCCTCTACCATGAAGGACAGAGACCCAAAGAAGCAAAGAAAAAAAGCAGCCCAGAGGTAGACTATGCAAGGAGAAGATCTTAAAAGCATTAACATTCTCAGAGATACGACAGAAAGATACAGCATTCATGAAATGAGTAAGGGATGCCGATGAAAAGAACACACAAAATCCAGAGAACAATTAAATACCAGAAACTCAAATTAAAAGCAAAAAATGCTCAAACATGAAAAATTCACCAGAAGGATTGAATGATTAAACGTTGAGTTAATATCTCAGAAAGAAAGTGATACCTACAAAGAAATGGAAAAGAAGAGAGAAAAAGATTTTAAAAATTAGAGAAACACACTAGGGAGTCCAACAGCCGAAAAGCAGGAGTTTAAGAATGAGGGATACAGAAAATGAGAGGGCAAACCTCATCAAAGAAATGATTTAAGGAAAATTCCTAGAACTGAAGGATGTGGGATTCTAGATTGATGAGACCCATCAAATGCTTAACAAAACAGACCTATACCTTTGAGAAGAGATTCTTTTTTTAAAAAGAATTATGCGTCTGAAACTTCTGGTTTACTTAGAAGATAATTAATGCTAAAATTGGAGAATACAAGTTAACTTTAATGCCAAAGTTGGAAAATACAAGTTAATTTGTGATTTGCATGTTGCCAGAATGGATATGAAAGGACTTCTGGCTGCATCTGATAACAGAGTGGACCGGTGTAATGTCAAAGAAATGGACATTCCTATAATGAGAGAATGTCATGTAGAAACATAGCATCCTAATTTTTAAAGTATTTTAGATTTGGTTGGGAGAACAATCTATCACTTACAAAATAAGGAGAAGGAAAAAACAATTTAATATATTTTTTTAGAGCTATATAGTTTGCAGAGTGCTGTAGTGTATGTGTGATAAACTATCTAAATTAATCTTTTTTTCTCGGAACAATATGAATATATCAATTAATCTTAATAATGCAAGCAAGGCATTATGACTCCCATTTGGCACATGAGAAAGAGGCTCAGAGAGGTAAAGCAAATTGTCCAAGTTCATAGAGTTTGCAGGTGGTGGAGCTGGGATTAAATGGCGGCCTCTGATTCTCTTGGCCTGTCCCTTACCATCACCTTGAGGTCACAAGATGGTTGAAGGAAGAAGGAGAAAAGGTGGACAACAACGGGCAAAAAAGAATGTGTGCCAGCTCTGCCTTTCGTGACATCGCTCTGATGTCCGCCCAGCAGTCTCTTCGTAAGTATCACTTGCCAGACTATGCTATGTGGCCACCTCTCTTGGCAGAGGAAGCTGGGAAATGCAGTGTTTTAATTGGACTGCTTCCTTGGGTGAAACCAAAGCTCTGTTAAGACAGATTTGAGTTGGCAGCCCGGAGTCTCTGTGAAAGCCAGGAACAGACGCAGCTAAGGTGCCCCTTTCTTTGGCTAGCTAGAAGCTGTTTACATGGATAGTTGTTTTTCTCTTTTTTCCTTGGATTTGGATAATGTGGATTATTTTCATGCAGTAGAATCAGATTTTCAATATAGCACATGTATTTAATATTTAAATACAGTGAGTTCACTGGTTTCTTTCTGTCCTCAGACAAGATTTTTATGATGCTCCCAAATCCTGTTAAGATTTCATCTGAATTGTTCTGCTAAATAGCACTCAGTGTTTTAAGCTCCCTGAAAGTGGTTACCCCTAGTTTTCTAGGCTTTTCTTTCGTGCCCTCTTCCCCACTTCCCATTCTCTTTCTCCACCAGTTCGATTGTTGTCACTGCTTACTGAAATTGAGCTCGTGGAATGCCAGAGAGAATCTCTAGTTCAACCAGCTCATGTTACAGACAGGGAATGGGAGGGCCAGAAAGTCAGGGAGCTCTCTGGCCAGGACGAAGGCCCTCTGGCTCCACTCAGTATTCTTGAAGAAAGGTCAGTGATTCTTATTGCCAAGAGGAAAGACAGAGAGTGAAGGGACTGAAGTGGGAAAGAGACTAGGGACATTCGAGGAAGCAAGAGGAGGCTGGCATGGCTGCAGTGCAGGGAGTGAGGCCGAGAGTGGCTTGAGCCAAAGCTAGAAGGGTCCTCAGGACCATGGGAAGCCAAGACATGCAGGTAATGCTGAGGATATGAGTGTATTGGCTTCTGAAGGATATCAGCTGGGAAATGGTGTAATTTAGCTTAAAATCTTAAAGAGTCCTTAGGCCTGCTTCATAGAGACATACTGGGGAGGACAAGAACACAAGAGGAGAAGAGCGAGGGCCACTACAGTTGTCCTGGTGGAGGTAACAAAGGCTCGAACTAACGTAGAGGCAGTTAGGTTGGAGGATGAGCCAATGGACGTAGCACATGTTGTCAGGCTTGGATGACAGGTTTGGGGATGGGGGCATGGAAGAGGGGAAAGGGAGAGAATCCTAGGGTTCTGTCTTGTACAAATAAGTAGATGAAAGAGCCCTTCATGGAATTAGGGAGCACTGGAGGAGGAGAAGATTGGAGTGGAAGATCCAAAATTCACTTTTGTGCTGAAGTATCTGCAGTACATCCTCGTGGAGGTGTCAGTAAGGCAGCTAGATGGAGATCCTGAACCAGATTCTTCTGTGATATTTCTCATTGGCTATTGTTATATATAGGAAAACTGTTGCTTCATACAAATATACTTTTTGTTTTTTGAGATGGTCTCACTCTGTTGCCCAGGCTGGAATACAGTGGTGGGAACACGGTTCACTGCAGCCTCAACCTCCTGGGCTAAAGTGATCCTCAAATCTGTCTGGCTAATTTAAAAAAAAAAACTTGTGTGTGTGTGTGTGTGTGTAGAGATAGGGGTCTCACTATGTTGCCCAAGCTGGCCTCAAACTCCTGGGTTCAAGCAATCCTCCTGCTTCAGCCTTCCAAAGTATTGGGATTATAGGCATGAACCACTGAGTCCAGCTGCAAATATACTTTGTATTAGACCATTTTACTGGACTCTCTGATTAGTTTGAATAGCTTTTCTGTGACTTTTTTTTGGTGTTCTGATATATAATTATATTGTCTGCTAGTAATGATAAACATGCTTCTTCTTTCCAACCATTTTATCCCTTATGATTTTTCTTGTTCTATCACATTGGCTATAGTAGAGGTCCTTTTACAGTTAGCTTTTAAAAATAGTATGTAATTTTTTATAAAAAATATGGAATGCTTCATGAATTTGCATGTCATCACTGTGTAGGGGCCATGCTAATCTTCTCTGTGTTGTTCCAATTTTAGTATATGTGTTGCCAAAGTGAGCACTACAGTTAGTTTTAATGGTGAAAATAACATTGATATTTGAGCAGCTAAGAGGAAGATGATTTTGAGATAAAGCTTCAAGGCAGTGTATACAGCTCAGAAATTATGACAGAAGTTTAGATGTGGCGTGATAATGCCTTTGAATAAGGTGGTATCTTAGTTCCTGCTGCTATAACACAATGTCACACACTGGGTAATTTATAGTGAGCAGAAGTTTATTGGCTCATGGTTCCGGAGGGTGGGAAGTCCAAGATCAAGGGGCTGGCATCTGATGAGGCCCTTCTTGCTGTGTCATCCTATGGTGGGAGGGCAAAGAGAGGGTGAGAGAGTGAGCAAATGGTCAAACTCACAGCCTCAAACCCTTAAACTCATTCACGAAGGAGAAGCCTTCATGACCTAAACATCTCCCATGAGGGCCCAGCTCCCAGTAGGCCCCACTTCCTGACACTGTTGCATTGAGGATTCTGTTTCCACACATGCTCTTGGGGAGACACAGTCAAACCATAGCATAACTGAAGACATAAAAAGGGATATAAATACCAACGCTCTTACCCTCATACTCATAGCCAGAAGAATGGTCTTGCCATAAAGCATGATCACAGTGCTTCAAACCTGAACCATGGTGGTCAAATTGACAGGAAACTACGAATATCTAAACAGTAAGTGTTGAAGTTGGGTAGAGTGTGTTCATTTGGAAAAGAGAACAGAGAAGAAATTTATCGTAAGCCTCAGTTTATGAACAGCTGTTAAAAGGTAGGATCAAAAGAAATAGATAGGTAAATTTTTAAAAATCTATGTCCATGGTTGAAGCTTAATCTTCTTCCAAAATATCCTGTAACAACTGTAATTTATGTAATAGTAGTGTACATGTAACATATCACTTGGTTTCCTCAACACCTCAGAGATATGGGTAGTAATTCACATTTATCCACAATTTGACATTTTGCAACATGCTTCGCTTACCTCATTTGATGTTTACATTCCCAGGGCTTACTCCCTTGCAATTAAGGCTCCAATAAAAATCAATCTGCTTTTAGTTCTTTGAACGCAATGTCATACATTCTCTCCACTAAGCCTTTGTTCCTGTGGCCCACCTTGTGATGCCTGTTTCTCCTTCACAACCCAGTTCAGACCCAAGGAAAGGCCTCTGTTCCATTGCCGGAAGGGAGAGGTGAGTGTAGCCAGCAAGGTCTTGAAGGAATCTAAGCCAGTTAGCAGGTATAGCACAACTCAGATATGCTGCTGTATTTGACACTGCATCACCTACTGGCCTAAGCTTTGCTGAGCTCCCTTGCTTTAGGGGAAAAAAAGAAAAAAAAAAGTCCTCTTCAGCTAGCTGCATTTCCTTTTCCCATTTCCAGAGTGTACCAGGGAGGTACACATGTCATTGACCATGGGCTCATCTTGACCCGTCACTCTTCTTCTAGGGCAGACGCCAAATCATGCATCTCATGATGCTGGACCTTCATGGGGGTGGAGCAGGGCTGGGTGCTGTCTAAGAGGGAATGAATGGTCCAGAGATCCAGGTCTGGACAGTCTGCGGCCCTATTGCTAGGGACTAGCATTTTGGGAACAATGAAATACACTTGGCAGGATCTGAAACTTTCTACAGTTAGGATTGGTTGGGTGGAAGGGAATCTTGGGTGGCCTTCAAGCCTTGGAGATCCCCAATCCACGATCTATAAGGATGGACTCCTAGACCCTCCCAGCTTATCTGCATCATGAGTGTTTGCCACTCTGCTGCGCAGGCCCCCAGTTGTCTCCGCTGTCAGGCTGCAAGATCATGGTGGAAACAGGCTGAGCCTATTCCGTCTCGCTCAGTCACAGGGCCTGGTCTGGTGCCTGGCACACAGAGGGCCGCAGCAAGTGTTGGTTGATTTGAAACCAGAGTTGAACCTCCTGCCTCAGCATCTCATTGCTCCATAGCCAGTCACGTGGCTGCCTAAAGGAGAAGATAAAAGACTCCCAGGTGATTTTGTGGGTTAAAAAGGTTTTAAAGCGCCTGCTTTAGAAGCTCAAGTAAAACTTTCGTCCTGCGTTGACTGGATAAAGCGTTCTGTCAGCCAGCCGCGGCTCGCCTAGAACTGGGGGCAGGGGAGAAGGGAGAGCCATGTTGTCTCTTTAATTGCATTGGCATAAATATTTGATATTCAATAAATTAGATCTGGAGCAAGGAAAACATTCTTGCAAATGGATTTTTTACCTGGAGCCTAGCCCCATTAGCAGAGGAGTAGAGGGCAGCCTGCCCCAGGGCCAGTAATTAACTCAAGTGGAGCAGAACTAAGCACTTTTGACAGCCTTCCTAGTCTGGAATTAACTGTCATCTTGGAGGAGAAAGAAAGTGCACTGTCACATCACGGCTGATGAGAGGTTCTCCAGGGCCGCCAGCCCCTTTAGTTTCCTGATGTCTCCGCAATGTGTTTTTCATCATTAGAGACGAGTTTAAAAGCAGCTAACGATGTAGTTTATATCCACGTACCTGAATCACAGATTTCACCAAAAGAGAAGACATTAGCGTGGTAATTCAATTTTTTTTTTTCCTTTTGGCAGTTGTAATGAAACAAGATACAGTGGATGCTGTTAGAAGTCACAATGCTGTGATACCTGAAGATAGTACAAGCTGGAGGTTTTTCCTCCTCTCTGTGTCAGTACTTGCCTGTAATGAGCGTAGCTTCGCCACTGTCTGTCTGTGCTGTCTCCCCCGCCCCCACCCAGTGTTTATGAAAGTAGCAATTGCTTCTGAGAAAAGGCAAAACTGTTGGAGCCTGAAGCTCCTTCTAGAAGCCACCGCTTGTCTTGTTCCGTGGAAACTGATGCAGTGGAAACTGGAGTTGTGCCAGGTCTGGTCTTGCTGATGTCTGTGCAGGCCATTTTTTATAAGGTTGCGGATCTCAGCCAGACTCTGAGCTAGGCTGGGTGTGAGGATGGGGTCTCCAGCGATGCTCAGCTGGCTTCGGAAGGAAGGTCTACCTGTGCACTTGTGTGTATTGAGAGGGGAGAGTTGTGCAGCCTGGTACACAGATCATGAACATCTGCTCCTCCTAGGTTTTCTGCCTACTTCCACAGCAGTAAAACCACGGCTCACCGCCTTTATCACTCAGCCTGAACACTGCTTCCTTCACGCCCTACAGTGAATGGGAGCTGGGATCTCCCTTGATTTCCCCTTTCTGCCATATTATGCACAGTGGCTCGAGGACGACCCTCCTCTTAGAACTTGACCTTTTGCCTCTGTCTGGCACCACTCCCGGCACAGTGTTAAGTCTGGAGATGCGATCATGTTCCTTCTCTGCTTGAAAGTCTCCTTGAGCCAGGCATGATGGCTCACGCCTGTAATCCCAGCACTTTGGGAGGCCGAGGTGGATGGATCACTTGAGGTTGGGAGTTCGAGACCAGCCTGACCAACATGGAGAAACCCCGTGTCTACTAAAAATACAAAAACTTAGCCAGGTGTGGTGGCATGTGCCTGTGATCTCAGCTACTTGGGAGACTGAGGCAGGAGAATTGCTTGAACCCGGAAGGCAGAGGTTGCAGTGAGCCGAGATTGCGCCATTGCACTCCAGCCTGGGCAACAACAGCGAAACTGTCTCAAAAAAAAAAAAAAAAAAAAAAAAAAAGTCTCCTTGGCTTTGGCTTTCTTCTTGATGCCCCAGCAGGGGCCCCAAAGCTTGGCTGCTCATTAGAATCTTGGAGACCCAGCCTGGCTGGACCAGAGTCCACAAAGTTGACGCCCAGGCAGTGCGGATGACAACCCATGGCTTACAGAATCAAGCCCTGAAATCTTAGCCTAACATCTTAACCTCAATGGCCTCCTCCCCTTTGGGCCCCAGAAAACATGGGGCTCAGCCACAACCCTCAACTGTGCACCTTCCCCTCAACTCTTCCCCTGGTTCACTCCCACTTAGCCTTTAAGATCCAGTGAAATGTCACCTCCTCTCTGAAGCCTTCCCTAACTTCTCCAGGCAGAATTATGGTCATTCATTCATTTGCCCATTCTCATTCAGCAAATACTCGCAGGACGCCTGCAGGTACTTGTGCGGCGTTCTGAAGATGACTTAGCAGAAAAAGCAGAGCTGCCAGGAGCTTCTCCGCTAGGAGCGAATACAGAGGAGACAGGAGCAGAGCAGACAGAATCAGGGAAGGCTTCCTAGAGATCAGGGTAATCTGAAGGGTGTGTATGAGCCATAGGAGTGAGGGTGGGGAGGGGGAAGGCTTTGGGTAGGGAGAAAATGTGTTAGAGGACAGGAAAGGTGAGAGCAAGGTGTAAACAGGCCAGATTGCAGCCATTTCTCCACAGCGTGTGGTGTGTCTCTAGTGGGAGAGTGCTCAGCAGGTTTTTGTTTTTTATTGGTTTGTTTTTTTTTTTAAGAGAGCGGGTCTTGCTGTGTTGTCCAGGCTGGAGTGCAGTGGTGCAGTCATAGCTCACTGAAGCCTCCAATTCTTGGGCTCAAGTGATCTTCCTGCCTCAGTGGCCCGAGTGGCTGGCTCTACAGGAATGTAGCACTACACTTGGCTCATTTAAAAAATTTTTATAAAGACAGGGACTCACTGTTTTGCCCAGCTGGTCTCGAGCTCCTGGCCTCAATGGATCCTCTGCCTTTGGCCTCCCAAAGTGCTAGAATTACAGGCATGAGCTACCGCACGCAGCCTCAGTAGGTGTTCTTGTTGAAGTGCAAGGCCAAGCTAGAGGGCCAGCTGTGGGGCAGTGGTGGACATTGAAGTGGAGAGCCAATGTCAGGGACGGGACAGGATATACTGTTCATTAAGTTATAGGTGATGGGGTGTCCTTGCACTTTAAAGATATATACATAAGTTCAGGGCCCTGTGAGGCTAGTAGTAGTATTTCCATTTCACACAGGTGGAATTTGAGGTTCCAAACAGCTAACTGACCTGCCCATGGTCATTCAGTGAGTAAGGGGCAGAGCTGGGATTTGAACCCAGCCAGGGTGGCTCTGGAGCCTGCACTTTTAACCCAGACTATATCATGCAGCCACAGCCGGAGCTGG